GAACTGAGCCTTTTTTTCATTCTTTCTATCCTATTCATCTATTTTTTAGAAATAAGCACACAATCCAACCTATTGTGTCTTTAAGCTTTTTTCTTTCTTTTTTAGAGACAGTGTCTCACTTTATTGCCCTTTGTAGAGTGCTGTGGCATCACAGCTCACAGCAACCTCCAACTCCTGGGCTTAGGTGATTCTCTTGCCTCAGCCTCCCGAGTAGCTGGGACTCCAGGCACCCAACACAATGCCTGACTATTTTTTGTTGCAATTTGGCTGGGGCCGGTTTAAACCCGCCACCCTCGGTATATGAAGCCAGCGCCCTGCTCACTGAACAACAGGTGCCGCCCTAAACCTTTTTGTTTAAGGTGGAAAAAGTAAGAGAAGATAAAGATGCTGCATTTAACAGAAATCAATATTTCACTGGCTCTGGTTTAAAATAAAAAGAACAGTAATAACAAACACTGTGAAATCTCCCACATTTAATCCTATGGCATCCTGATTCCCTACAAAAGGGTTTATGCAGATAGGCTAGGTACTATCCTAGATTTAAACAGATCAACCCACTTAAGAGAAACCCAGCATAGACGCTTACACTTTTGAAATAGGGATAATTGTTTACATTGAATAGAAATGTACTGCCAAGGTTTGTTTAAACAGGGAGCTTCTTTTTTTTTTTTTGAGACAGTCTTACTCTGTCACCCTTGGTAGAGTGTATCTTGTTAGCTTTTAGAATGTATTTATTGTGCAGAGCAGGATAAACCTAAATACCGTATCTAAGTGAAACTGCAGAAGGGAATCATTCAAACAATTGCTCAAAAGTGAAATTTTACTAAGAAATCAGAATTCACTGGTACGTCAGCTGCTTTCTCTCACCTGTGGCAGTTTTGAGGCAAGGTGAACGTGCCTGGTCACTTTGGGGCTAGCTGTTCAACCCACAGAATTTGTGCTGAGGTTTATGTGGTAAAATGTGGTAGTCTCCTTAAAAATGATTTAAGATGGAACTAAATTATAGGGTGTTTTTTCTGAATTGAAATGTTCTTCTTTATATGTAGTATTAGACTATTATAAAATCTAATTGTTTTAAAAATTATTTTAAGAGGGGCAGCGCCTGTGGCTCAGTGAGTAGGGCACTGGCCCCATATATCAAGGGTAGGGGTTCAAACCCAGCTCCGGCCCAACTGCAACAAAAAAATAGCCGGGCATTGTGGTGCACGCCTATAGTCCCAGCTACTTGGGAGACTGAGGCAAGAGAATCCCCTAAGCCCAAGAGCTGGAGGTTGCTGTGAGCTGTGACACCACAGCACTCTACTGAAGGCGACATGGTGAGACCCTGTCCTTAAAAAAAAAAAGAAAAAGAAAATTGGAGTTTGAGTTTGTCACCATCCAGTTAGTGTGAATGAATGACTATGGCATTTTACAAGTAGGGTTTGTATGTTTAAACTTTATGCTTTATAGATCACTTTTTTTTTTTGAGACAGAGCCTCAAGCTATACCCCTGGGTAGAGTGCCGTAGCATTACAGCTCACAGCAACCTCCAACTCCTGGGGTCAAACGAGTCTCCTGCCTCTGCCTCCCAAGTAGCTGGGACCACA